TTTTTCCTCTGGAAATAAGAGGGCTGACCTTGACTACCTCTAAGAGGCTCCATCTCACTCTAACATGTGACAAAGCCAAGACCTAAGGTTTTGTCACCACGAACGTGATCTTCCTTCTGAATGTGAAATGCAACTTTTCGGTGACTCTTAAATACAAGTCTGCAGTTTTCTCTCCTAACCAGGTAGTGCTGGAATTTCTCAACTGAGGCCGAAGCTGGGCAGGTTCCCAAATCAGGAACCGAGGGGAGGGGCTTGGAGAGTTTTTTTTTAATTAGATATGATCGTTCTCCTTATCTCTCCATAAGACAGTTCAGGTGAATAGGGGGTCCATGTTACTCTGTAAAGGGGCTGACCAGGCAGAAGATTTTTATGTGGTTCCTCCTATAGCCTATGGTCTACTGGCTCTTAATAGCAGTAACAGTGATTTAACTTTGAGCTCCTCTTCTGATCTAGACACTGTGCTAAATGCTTTCCATGCACTATCTCATTTAATCCTCCAAAGGACCCTACTTTAAGCAGAGAGGGACTGAGGTTCAGGATTGTTTAAATGAGTTCTGTGTGGTAATTCAGCTGCCTAGTGGGTAGAGCTGGAATTTGAACCTGAGCCTTATTCCAGAGCCTACGTTACTCACGCTCATCTTGGTTTTATCCTGGGGAACTTTCCCAGGGCAAATGGCCCCGGTCCTCCCCTCTCCCCGCCCACCCTCCCTCTCCTCCCTGGCTTCCCTCCTTACTTATCGCTCATTGTTTATTGTACCTTCTAAACAATAGTTAATGAGTCTGTATTACACGGTCGGTCGGGAGAGCCAGGGGTGATTTTATTCCCTGAAACAGAGATGAGGTTGTGACACAAAAAGGTTAAGTGGCTTTGGTGAGGTCACAGAGCCAGCCTGCAGTCGGGCGACAGCAGCTCCGATCCCCCACTTGGGTTCCTGAACTGACCCTAAGGCCTTTTGGCATCAGTTTAATTAAGAGAGTTCTTTTCATTTTCTCCAATTTTCCATTTTATGGCAGCTCCATAACTTAGGTAGATATCTAAGCCCCAGGCATCTTTCTCCCCCCAGGGTGCTTTTCAGTGACTCAACTTATCACACAGAAGCCACTTGCTTTAGAGTTAAGCTTTAGAAGCCTGTTTCTGTGTGTGATGGGGGACTGCTCCTTTTCTTCTCAGAGAAAAACAACCACAAATGCAAAGTGGGCAGGTTGTCAATCGAGGACTTTTTTTTTTTTTTTTTTCCTTTTCAATCTTACATTTAAGCCAGTAAATGAACATCTGTGAGTCATAAACTTGCTCTGGATCAGCCGTTAGTGGTCTGAATGTTTTTGCACCTACCTCTAATAAAGCATATTTTAGCTCAAAACTCAGAGATTCTTCGGTTTGTTGACGGTCAAGATGTGGGAAATAGAAAAGTAACTTATTCTAGCACACTTCTGGAGGACAGTCTGTCTTTCAGGATTGTTTATAATTAGGTGTATTTTTATATTTCTTTTTTATTGAGGTTGAAGCGGGAGTTGAGGGAGGAGCATGAAAGAGAAAGTTTACGTTTTTTACATACTCTGTGTTTTTGAGGGAATTCTTATAAAAAATGTGACTGTTTTCTTGATGTCATTAACGTCTAACTTCACACCCCTGTCCCTCAACTCCTGCTGGCTTTTTTTAACCCCTTTGACATGAGGCTTCTAGTTGAAGGAATTTCAGCCCTTGCTGGGTGTGATTCCCAAGTTTTGGGAATATTTGAAAATACAATTCTGGTTTCTCCCAAGTACCGGAGGAGCAGACTGCTGCATTACCGGCAAAAACAAAAAATTGTCCCTTGGTTGATTTTTCTTGAGTGCCTTAAAAATTAGATATAGTCTTGAAACAACTTGCCCAAGGGGATAGAAGGCAAAGCTCCTCTGATCTTGTATTGTTAGTGGGTAAACTGAGGTGCAAATGAAACCCAGTGGACAGGAGTGCTGGGGAACAGAGCTTCTGGTAGGCCAAGGCCAGACCTAGAGACAGAGTGGCTGACATTGTTTAGCTCATTTTCACAAGCGCTAGCATATCAAATGCACTTAACCTTTGAATTGGAAAGCCATGGTGGCAAAGTAAAAGCCCCTAGTGACCAGGAAGGTGATAGCTCACTATTCAACACGTATTGATTGAGCATCTGGCACATAGTTCAGGCAAGGCACTGTATTTTAGGATACGGTAAGGTAGAAATATCATCTAAAGTTCACAGGAACATTTAGAAAAACCTACTTGTGTCCTAGAAAGAATAAAAATTTCGTTGATCAAAACTGATCAGATTAATCAAGTGGGATCATTGCAGGCCTGATCAGATCATTAATATCCCAAATATGTAAAAATACTTTCACTTGTCCATATTAAGTGCTCCTTGTTTCCACCAGATCCGAGGTTAGATGCATAACTTCTGATAACATCAATACTCACAATTGGCCTCCTGCAGGAGTAACTTTCTTGGAAGTCTGTGGTGGCCTCTGGCTATCTTCCAAACCCCACTCCCTGATTTGCACAGTCAAACCTTTCAAACTTCTGTGCTTCAGGACGGGGTTAGAAAGGATGATTGACAAGTTGAGCTGTCATCATTGAAGAACTGAAGGAATAAATTCCCCCATTGCTGAAGTGGACAGTGTTTTCGGATTCATAATGGCGGGCTCTTTTAGTGTCTAGTTTGGGGGTGAGGGAGGTAGCAGCCGCGTTTAGGCTAGCCTGGGAAAGAAAGCTGAGAAACCGACTGAGGGAGAGAGACAGGACTTGCTCTGAGGAAGCTGCATTTGAAATAGAGCAGTCACACCTGGATTAAAAAAAAATACCAGCATTTCCTTAACATAACATCAATAAAACAAAACTCCGCAAAGCAACTCCTGATTTGCACAGTTCTCTTGCTGACGTATTCACAGCGGGTAAGGCAGGATTGGTTCAAGATCCTTTTCTTTGCTGCTCATTTGAATGTGTAAATGCACAATTCATTCACGCGTTGGTTCCCTCAGCTTTTCCCAGGATCAGACGGGTCTGTTCTTGTCATCTGGGGGCCAGCGTTGTTTTCTGATACCTTTTGGAAACACAGCTGGATGACAACATTCCTTCGACAATTAGGATTCTCGCATACAAACACTTCCCTCTGGTCACTGGCAGACTAGCATAATCTGCAGTTTGAACCAGGAGCCTGAGATTTGAGACTTATCTCCTATTCTTGGCTCCTCCCCTCCTCGGCTGTGGGAAACCTGTAAGTTAGTAATACTTCAAGGGGACAGAACTGGAATTAGATGAAGGTAAGCAGGTGTGTTAAAACTTATCAGAGCTTGAGGTTACAGTTACAGCCAAGGGGTGGGAGCTGAACATATGCTTAGAAATCAGGAAACAGTATTAAAAATAGCTTTCTCTGAGGTTGTTCAGAAAGATTTATGTTTTTTAAAAAATTTTATTTATTTTATTTTTGGCTGCCTTGGGTGTTCCTTGCTGCGCGCGGGCTTTTCTCTGGTTGCGGCGAGCAGGGGCTACCCTTCATCGCGGTGCACAGGCTTCTCATTGCGATGGCTTCTCTTGTTGCAGAGCATGGGCTCTAGGCGCACCGGCTTCAATAGTTGTGGCACGCGGGCTCAGTAGTCGTGGCTCGCGGGCTCTAGAGCGCAGGCTCAGTCTTTGTGCCACAGGGGCTTAGCTGCTCAGCAGCATGTGGGATCTTCCCGGACCAGGGCTCGAACCCGTGTCCCCTGCATTGGCAGGCGATTCTTAACCACTGCGCCACCAGGGAAGCCCCAGAAAGATTTATGTTTAATCTTTTAGTTCATCAGAGATAGCTATCAGTGCCTGGCTCCAGCTATACATATGTGTCTAGGGTTGCACCTCTATGTCTACTGCTTGATTTATTAATTCAGACCAACTCTCTCCATTTATGATAACCAGTGTGCCAGTGGCAAACCATTAATTATGCAGGATCATGTTAGGGTGTCTGAAGTGTCTGGGCTTCCCAAATGGAAAAGGGGTCTGTGTACTGGGATTCTGTCATGGCTGCGAATGACGTACTCCAGAAATTCGAAACCACAGAGCCTGTGCATCACATTTTTGATGGTGGTGATAGGAGGGTTGTCAGTTTTATCTAGTAGAGGAGAATCTGTGAAAGGAAAGACAAAACTTTTGGCCAATGGTGACATAATTAGAGGAACAGAATAATAGTTCTCCCTGCCACCCAACCACTG